TGCAAGGCATCTCGTACAATATTTCATACGGTGTCATCCCGATAGTAGCTTGATAACTATTATTATATGCAAATTCAATCAATGGGATATGGTCCTCCCAACTACCCTGAAAATCTATCACACATGCTCACAGCATATCCTCTAACACCTGATTCACCCTCTCTATCTGACCATCGGTCTGGGGGTGGAAAACATTACTAAATGACAACTGGCTGCCAAAAGCATCCTGAAAACTTCTCCAAAAATGGTATATGAAGACTGAGCCTCGATCTGATACGATCGTCTCCGGGACTCCATGTAATCAAATGATCTCTCGGATAAAAATCCTCGCATATGTATCCACTGTATAAGTCATCCTCACAGGTAAGAAATGCGTCGACTTCGTCAACCGATCTACTATCACCCAAATAGAATCATTTTCTTTCTTTGTTTTAGGTAACCCTACAATAAAATCCATGAAAATATCTGTCCACTTTCACTCGGGAATGGGTAAAGGCTGTAGGGTCCCTGCAGGTCTCTAATATCTGCCTTAACTTGCTGGCAGGTAAAACACTTAGCCACATACTCTGCAATCTCTCTACGCATGCCACTTTATCAGAAATGCTTCTTCAGGTTTTTATACATTTTCATCGTGTCTGGATGCACTGTATACCTGGTATGATGCGCCTCATCAAATAGATCTCTCTTCAACTATGGATTGTTCGGCATAACTAATCGACCCTTTATCCGAAGGCCTCCATCTGCTCTAATAGTCCAATCAACCTTGGGTTTCTTGGAAATCTCTCCCTTACGAGTTTGAATCCAAGAGTCCTCTAGCTGAGCTTCAGTCATTCTATAGCTCCAAGATGGCTGTACTGATAAAGCTTCTAAAAAAGCATTACTCCTCTTAATCTCTGGCCTGAAATCATAGTGGCTGAGGGTATAAAGATCTCGATGTAATGAATGCCTCATAGCTGCAAGTCCGTGACGTTGCTTCCTATTCAACGCATCTGCTACCATGTTCCTCTTTCTCGGATGGTACTGTATAGCGAACTCGTAATCCTTAATAAACTCTACCCATCGTCGCTGCCTCTGGTTGAGTTCTTTCTGTGAGAAGAGATACTTTAAGCTCTGGTGATCTGTGAATAAGTTAAACTACACTCCATACAAATAATGTCTCCACGCCTTCAGTACAAAAACCACTGATGCTAGCTCCAAGTCGTGCGTAGGATAATTTGTCTTATGAGTTCTCAGCTGCCTCAAAATATATAGCCCACAACTCTCTTAGTCTGCATCACAACACCTCCTAGACCCGCTAACTATGCATCCGTGTAGACGACAAATATTTTATCACTGCTTGGAATAATCATTACTGATGTTGTATTTAATTTCACCTTTAGAGTCTCAAAGGCTTCCTGGCACTCCGTGTCCCCAATCAAACTGTACACCCTTATGCGTAAGGCGTGTAAGTGGTGTTGCAATCTTCGAGAAGTCTTGAATAAACTTCCTGTAATAGACGACCAAACCTAAAAAATTATGAATCTCTGTAACTGTCTTCGGTGGGTCTCAATCAAGTACTGCTTTCACTTTAGCTGGATCCACTATAATGCCCTCCTTGCTGATAATATGGCGTCAATAACCTGATCTCAGAACTGATGCTCCCGTAAAGTCTATAATGTCAAACGAAGATGATGCTCATGCTCTATCTCTAATCTCGAACAAATAAGGATGTCATTGATAAAACAACCACAAACTGGTCCAAACATGGACGGAAAACCCGATTCACAAAATCCTTGAATATCGTGGGTGCATTGGTCAGCCCAAATGGCATGAAAAGAAACTCGAAAGACCCATATCAATTCAGAAAGGTGGCTTTGGAATATCCAGTCTCCACACGCGCAACTGAGAATAATCAGAACGAAGATCAATCGTCGAAAAATGATGCGCTCCCCGTAGCTAGTCGAACAAGTCATAAATCATCGATAGTGGATACCTGATCCGGGAAGTGACCTTGTTCGACTCACTATAATCTATACATAATTGCATGCTATCGTCCTTCTTCTCCACGAAGAGGACCGATGCTCCCATGATAACGACTCCGGAAAATAAAACTCTAAGATAACAACTTATCTAGCTGGGTCTGTAGCTCCCTCATCTTATCGGGTACCATATGATAGGGTACTTGAAATATTGGTACGATGCCTAATACAACTCGATGCAGGAAAACAACCTCTCTCACTGGAGAAAATCTTGGTATATCCTAAAAGACATCCGGATACTCAGAGACGACTCCGGTCTCACTCAAATCTACACCCCGATCCCGTATCACCACCACCTTGATATATGCCAGAAATGACTCTGCATTCTGGTTACTCTATGAGGTTGCTAGTATCTATACAAACTCATTGAATGCTCACAAGCTGACTATCTTTACAAAACAGTCTATACTAACGAGGTAGGATAATAACCAATCCATACTAAAAATAACATCAAACATCGGACATTCGCAAGACGATTACATCGACCACGGAATCAGACTCGTCTAAACTGACGACACATCTCCTATAGATACTCTCTAAGAGAGACACTTTTTCTAAAGGAGTAGAAACTGATAATAGAACGCCTAAAGGCTACGCTACAAGCTGATGTCTAATCATGACATCATGATAGATAAAAGAATGTGAAGCTTCTGAATTAACAAGATTCGAGCTGAGAAGAAAATCAATAGAAAGCTCTGCTAGTACTATGATCACGCAGTACAACTGCATAAACCTTGCCGGTGGTTGGCGATTGCTATGCTGATGGCTGTGGAACATATGGGACTGTCTGTCCCTCAGGAATCTCCTGGATAGCATGAATCTGACCCACTGACCCCATAATCCTCGAGATGGCTGGAGGTGCCTCAAATCCTCTGTTGCTTGTCGTAATCGCGGCCCTGAGACTGCTGATTCTGACCTCTGTCATGCTGACCTCCTTCTGGTGTACTGCGACAATTGTAACATGTACGCCGAATTTTGTGTTGTTGCGATGCTCTTGAATCATGTTGTAGGTTGTGCTCTCTTCTTATGTTGTCCTTGTTGCTAGCGGTAAAAATCCTTACCTCGCTGCTGGGGCTAGATTCCGCATCAGGTCTCTTGCCCTTGCAATTGTCACTATACTGATCATGATTCCATAATTAACTACGGGCATATCTCCCGGCTTTAATCGGACTAGCTCTACTGCTTGTCAAAGAAGCAAACAAAATTTTCCCAAATAAGTGGTATTCGCTGCTCCGGTAAAAATCTGAAGTCGGTGCCATCCTCTGGTGCTATCTTCTACGCTGAATACATCTAACTCCGCTTTAGTACTGAGTCGATGTTAAGAAATTTTTACATATTTTTTCTATTTATAGGCTGCACATGAGTCTGGTGTGCCCTGAAACTATGGTGCTCTCAGTGTCTGATGTCTTTCTTATTCTTACAGAGCCAAGTCTCCTACTCTGCGGCTCTATCAACAACTGATTGTGCTGATGGTGAAATCGTTAGTATTGCCTCTCCAATAGGTACGACTGGTACAACTGGTGGTGGAACTCTAAAAAATGTAATGTGACTCGTTACTCTCTCCTCGAGTGTTGCTAGTCCCTAATTTTGCGATCGGCGATACAAAGTCGATCAGATACTGTGGAGCCTGTTGCGGCTCGGGCTCTGCTTGCCCAGCTCTCCGAGTACGAGTTTTATCCCGACCGCATCCTCGTCCTGACATTTATAATATCAAGAGGAGAGCTTAATAGACACAATAAAAGAGGTCACAAATATATATACATAATATAACGTATCACATAGTATTCACACAAATACTTTTCAATCAAAGTAAGGTAGTCATAAAAAATTTTGTAATTTTCAAGGTATACGTATTACGTCCTCACTCATTCTATGTACCAACTGTGACGCCCCCGGGTTCACACAACATGATTCGAGAGCGCCGCAGCAACGCAGAATTCGACGTACATGTTACAATTGTCGCAGTACACCAACAGGAGGCCAGCATGACAGAGGTCAGAATCAGCAGTCTCGGGGCCGTGATTACGGCAAGCAGCAGAGGATTTGAGGCACCTCCAGCCATCTTGAGGATTGAGGGGCCAGTAGACCAGATTCATGCCATCCAGGAGATTCCTGAGGAACAGACAGTCACATATGTTCCACCGCTATCAGCGTAGCAATCGCTAGCCACCGGTAAGGTTTATGCAGTCATACCGCGTGATCATGGTGCTAGCGGAGCTTTCTTAGTGATTTCCTTCCCAGCTCGAATCTTGTTGATTCAGAAGCTTCGCATTCTTTTATCTTTTCCTTCCCAGCTCGAATCTTGTTGATTCAGAAGCTTCGCATTCTTTTATCTATCATGATGTCATGATTAGACATCAGCTTGTAGCACAGCCTTTAGGAGTTTTATTATCAGTTTCTACTCCTTTGGAAAAGATGTCTCTCTTAGAGAGTATCTATAGGAGATGTGTCATTAGTTTAGACGACTCTGAGTCCGTGGTCAATGTAATCGTCCTACGAATGTCCGATGTTTCGTACCAACATGTCATTCCTACTTTTGAGTTGTATTGAGCCGAAGGAGGAATTCGCCGCTAATAATAGGTGATGGGCATGTTCTACGTGTTTCCGTTACAGCCGACCCACACAAAACGAACCAAACCCAAAAAAGGAAAAAAATGTGGGTGGGTGGGTGGGTGGGGGTGGGGAGAAAAAAAAAAGAAAGTCGCAGCATCCGCAACAATGCCCGTGCCTTGGGCTTGTTGTGGATTTTTGAGTTTACACGCCAATGTGAATATTATACAATCTCCCTTTACAGCGTAATCCAACTAGTCACAAGGGACCACACCAACGCGTATAATGTTGGGAAAGAGAAACAGTGGAGATAGGATTGATATACGCATGTTGTAGTATCAGACAAGGGAGAAATATAAATGCATTTGCAGTTCAACACAACGAAGGAAGACAATACAAATATTGAGTATACAACGCACAGGACATTGCAAAAGCAAATAGTCAATTTGCATTTTATAGTGTTCAAGAATTGAAGAATATAATCACGGTGCTAATCCAATCACAGGGGATTATACAAATGTGTCGAGTTCATATAATTCCATTATCCACTGCTATATCCTGCTAGGCAATCTTAACGAAGAATTCAAGAATTGCATCAACGCTTCGTTACTCCCCATATCATAGGCAACATTAAAAGAAACTCTCATCTTTAACTATTCACCTATATGTATAGTTAATTTTCTAAAAGAGTTTATCACATAAGCAATAATATGTTACATACATGAAAATGTTATATTTGACTTCAAAACTATCAGTAGACTGAAAATGTGGTCATGTTGGAGCTAATCATCAAGCACTCTACGTGATTAAATTCCTTGTTCATTCTTGGAGAACATGACGCATCTCAAAATCGATCATCACGGAGTCCAATCATGTATTATGAATAAACTCCTTTTCAGGTCCTTTTTATGCTCACATCCTTTCAACGCCTTTTCAGAGTAATCATGCAAATGAAGGCAATGCAGCGGAAGGCCATGCCATAAGCAGCCAGAACTATTAGAGAAATAAGCCAAACCTTGATATCATATCCATTGTCTGAAAGAGAACGGCAGCGAGTGATTAACCACACTCCAGAGTACCTGTTGCAAGAAATGCACTGGTCATTAACCTTATTAAAACTTAGTAATTTATTGTCCATATTCTTTATAAAAATCGTCAAATATTTATGGTTTCATGATCCAGCTCAGGTGATAAGCTTTGGGGTTAATCATTACGTCTTTGTTAAAAATGGACCCAAAATAAAAAAGAGCAACTTAAATCATCTAACAGACCACCAAACATCTTATTGAACAGGAGACTGCTGCGGATTAAGTCAGATGCGATTCTAGGATCTCTACTTTCTTGTTCTCTCTTAGCCTCTGTTTGCACGTCACATTGGTGAGGTTGTGATATATGATAATTCTTTTCAGGCATGCACAATAAGCAATATTCTTTGTTCTGGTACTCTTTTAATTCAGTTAGAGGTTTGGATTGTAAACCGTAGACTCCTATTCCTCATCAAAAAGATATTTTCTCATTATAGTGCTTCTAAAGCGAGTTAAGAAATTAAATTATACCTACCTAAGTGCTTATTGAGGGAGACAGAAGATTAGAGAAATTAGTGGTCGTATAGATTTATGTACGATACAGATACGGTGAGAGATAGACTCACACTCAAGATCAGTTTTATTGTCAAGTTCAGTTTTGTAGTCTTTAATCCTAGTAGAACTAGGATTGGCTTGTAATTAATGTGTGAGTTATGCGTGAATAGTATGTCGTGTTTGAGTCTTCTTCGCTCAGTATTTTAGCCAAGTATCGTAAGAAACCTATGTATTAGGGATTCCATGTCTTAGGTTACCCAGAATTTATGAATTTCAGATTATCTACTAAGAAAACTTTTCTTCTATTAATTATATGTTGTTTGATTCAATAATGGACGTGAAATCCAACACTCTGTTGTGTGGAAAACCATGTTTTATTTTTTCCCCCCTCATTTTTTGGTTTTTCCTTCTTTGCTAATGAAACCCTAGCCAAACAATGCCATTCTTGTCCACTTCTCTGATCTATCCACTTGAT